CCAGGTTCAATATCCGCCACTGAACGATCCCAATCCTCCGGTGGCTCCGACATGCGTGATGGGTCGGCCATAGTAGACCAGATATTTAATTGAATAAAAGCGTAGAGTGGGTTCGTTGAGTAGTATGTTTGGCGAGCAGTCAATTGACGTCTGAGTAGTACGAGTGCAGAGATGTGCACAGTCGTGAGTGTAGGGGTGCGAGACGTAAGACTGCGGTGGTGGTGGCGGAAGGCAAGAGCCGACTCAACAAACACTGCTTCGGGCTTACAGCTGTCCAAGCGCGCCGCGGCGCGTTCACACGTGCCTTCTTTCAACTTGCTCCGAACCACCAAGGCACAACCGCGTCGATCCCTGTCAAGCCCAGAAACAGCAATACACTCTCCCGAAATGACATCGTCTGAGGCTTACAACTTGCGCGACTTCGTCTTTGAGAAGATATTGAACGAGGGTTGGTCGGTGCCTTCGTCATTGCGATTGGTGTTTATACTGAGACGATTCATCGGCAGATCCTCTGCTCCACACGGTCACACTGCTGGGAACGCAGAAGATAAACGGCTCAGAGAACGTACCAGCAATTATACGCATCGAGAAGACTGCTCTACCTGTCTTCACCGACGGCTTTGTCGAGCGCTCCGAGCTCATCGAGTCGACGGATATCGTGTGTAAAGCCTCACGCCTCGCCCGAGGCTTTATCTCAATTAGCCGAAGTACACCTGGCTCTTCGGTTGGCTGCCCAAGTCAGACGATAATCCCGATGTGAAGATCAACGTCATCTGTCCTGCAACGGAGACGCACATACGCAAGGCAAGCCGAGATGCTGAAGTTGTACCTGCGCTGTACTTACACAACCCGTTCTCCAGTATTCTGCGCAAAAATTCCATATCGTTCGCGAGACACCGGCTCTGTATGAACGCATCGTCAAGCCCTACATCGATGCCTTTCCCGCTTCACGCACACAATGGGTAGAAGATATCATCGCCGGTCGCTCAGAAGCGTCGAAGGTCCTCTTTCGATCTCCGCCAGACACGTCAAACGGCTTCCTCATCTTGCCCGACATGAAATGGGACTTGGTGACCGTCAACTCGCTCTACCTCGTTGCCATCTCCCTCACTTCCGAAGTCCGCTCTCTGCGAGATTTGACGAGTGGTCATGTTCCGATGCTGAAGAGCATCAAGGGAGAAGCTGAGAGGATTGCGGGCGCGAAGTGGGGTTTGAAGGCGACCGAGTTGAGGTTGTTCGTGCATTATCAGCCAAGTTACTGTAAGATTCCCTCGCTCATACCTCTTCCGGCACCGCTGACCCAGGCATACGTAGACCACTTCCACGTCCATATCGTTAACTCGAACTACACCGGTCTTCAGGGTATGTCCACTGGACAGGCGCACATGCTTGATGACCTCATATCCCTCGTACGTCGACTTTGCTACCTGTCCCCGCAAGTAGTCCTAATCACTTGGCGTTGTAGCTGGAGCTCGACGGTGCTTTGTTGCAAAAGATGACGCTTGCGTATGCACTCGGGGAGAACCATGCGCTGTGCACGCCGATGTTGGAAGCACAAATAACGCTTTGAGTCGTCGTGTACAACACTCATACGGATACATATGTAATGGGTATCTCTCTAGCCTAACCTCAATGCTCATTCGCATCCAACAAAGCCAGCGCCTTTGCCGAGCGTGGAGTGATACTACACTTGAACGGAGCGGGCGTCCTAGAGCGCAAGTCAGTCGATGAACTCGCACTTGTCCAGAAGCACAAGACATACCTGAAGACGGAGTTCGGATACTCGACGACAGGCTCGATGGGATTGCCCGTAGAGTCCTTCGCCTTGTCTATCTTGAGAGTGGCAATCATGCACACGATGAGCAGCCAGACAGAAGAGTCCACCATGTGCTCGCCGGGGCAGATCCTGCGTCCGAAGCCGAAGACGTAGTTGCGTGGGTCCATGGTGGCGAAGCGCTCCTCGTTGAGGTTCAAGTAGCGATCGGGGTTATACCTCGACGGCTCCGGGAAGAGCTCAGGATCTTGCAGGAGCGCCCTGTAGTCCCCCCGTTAGCCTTGAGTCCAGGAGGGCAGACTTGCACCTGACGTACCAGATGTTTGCAAAGACGAGCGTGCCCTTGGGTATGTACATGTTCTCGTACACGTCGTCCTGGCTGAGCCGATGTGGCAGTCCGAGCGGTGTTGGTGCCGCGTATCGCAGAGTCTCGCTGACGATCGCATCCACTACCGTTACGGCCAAGATCAACGTCAACTCACGGGCCACAGGTCAAGGTAACTCACCGTAAGGCAAGTGAGCGCGGTCATCGAAAGTGGGAAGACGGTCATTCCCGACGACGCGGTCGATCTCATCCTGCGCGCGCTCCAGAACCTCGAGGTGCTGGGTCATGGCGAGCACGAAGTGGCTCATGGTTCCGATGGTCGTATCTGCGCTGGCCGCATACATAGAGTTGGCTACCCACTTCAGGTCGTGCTCGAAGAGTTCGGTCATCTTCTCGCGCTTGTCCTCTAGTAGAGTCGCGCAGAAAGAGGTTGAAGCATTGCCGCTAGACTGCGAGGGGATCTCAGCGACAGACCCATCCTCATCGTGCGAAAGACTTACCACCATCGACTTCACCCAGACGTAAGGTAAGTTCACGAAGGCCTCCATTCTCGGCTTCCATTGACGAGCCAAGCGTTTGAAGCTCGCGCCCGGAAGCCACGAAGGCAGTACTTTCACTGGTGCCTCGACTTAGCTCAGGCTAGAAGCTACGCCCGTACAAGCGCCCGTACTCACGCTGAGGGATCACGTCTACAAGCCATACACTGCCGCTGGGAGAGATGCGGTTCGCGAGAAGATCCATGCATTCCTCCGCGAGCTCGAGGAAGCCGTCGGGCCCCGTGGTGGAGGGCCTGTATCCGTATACGACTTGGAGCGCTAATCCACCGGCGTATCTGGGAGCGGGTTGATCAGTCTTTGGTGCGGAGATACAGAGGGTTGGCGGAAGATACCCACCGTCTGAAATGAGTTTGAAACTGCTCTGGGGTGTCGATGAGCCGGTGGATGATGTCCAGAGTGGCGTCGAGCATTAGCGGGCGATAGGCAGGGATGTGTTGTGGTCCGAAGGCTTGTGTGAACAGGCGGCGGTGTCTCCTACGGCGAGGTGCTCAACTAACTTCCAGGAACTCCGCGGGGCGGAGAACTTACTTGAATTGGTTTCCGTAGCTGGTGAAAGCGACCATGTCAGCACACCCGCACCTACAAGGTTCTCTCGTCAGACGCTGTGCACCGCCACAAGAGTATGTATGCTTACAATTCGCCACCCATGACCATACGCGGACGGTCCGAATAGATAGCGCCACGCCTGTCAAGTAACTCGAAGGCTGCTTGACGGGAATTCAAAAACACGATTGGCTGTCCCCAGACGGAGAGATATACGACGTCGCCTGCGTTTTGCTTCAGTGATGTCCGCGAGCTCGGATGGGTCGACATACCGATTTCCCTGCCCCACTGCTGTACCACCAGCCAAAGTTGTTTCGACATCATCTGTTTCACAGAGCCAATGACTGGAGCTAGCGCAGGACTAGGTGGCAGGGATCCATGGGACCGCTTCGAGGTAAGCAAGTAGCCCCACCATCCCACTACAGCGCAGACGACTGCCACGTCTAGAGATCTCAGAGCGACGACCATAGGATCAAGCGAAGGACGTCCGAAGTGTTATCGCATGGAGCCGCCTCGCGAGTCTCTTGTAGGTGGGATGGGATCATGCGCGTTTGACGGGGAACTTCGAATGCAGAGTTTCGAAGGAGTACTGTGTCCGTACTCTCTGGGCCCACCGTCACAGCAAGATCTCGCGGTGAGATCCCGGAAGTAGACGTTCGTGCTCTGCATCATTGCAAAGGTACCCTGATCAGAACAAGGCTCCTTAGAACAGAAACAGTTTGAAGAATTGGGTACGGTAGGACGAACAGTGGTGATGCGGGCGATCGCGTGGTTACTGAGGTTTCCAGTTCGGAAATGCGTACTCATCCGGGAGCTTTGAGGAGACAAGTCGTAGTACACCGGATCTTCCACATCTTGTGTTTCAGGGACGAGTTGGATGAAGAAGACGGGGCATGTGCACAGTTCGGCTCTGCGCAGCGGTGGTAGTAACCCACGGCATCTTCATACGGCAAACGTTGAGCGTGTACAGGGCAGCCGGGGGACGCCAAAGATGGATCGGTGTTTGCCAGAAGAGAGTCGGTGTCAGATTGCGTTGCTGAAACCCGCTTCTGCACATCCATGTGAAGGATAAGGTGCGCGGGAGAAGACCGTCACCAGCGGGATGATAGAGGGGCAACTGAGTTACGCTACTAGACGGCTGATGGCCTTTTCGCGCTCTCAATCACCTGTTTGCCAGCGCAAAACAGTGATGGTTGATAATCGATGAAGAATGATACGCAGAGGATACGTTCCACGGTCATGGTGGTTGAGATCAGACTTCGCGCGCGCGGGATCGGGGAGGCCCGGCCGCGTTGTGAGCGCAGTTGGGCGCGACTGCTGCTTATGTAGTGTACGGTATGACGATGAATGCTCAGCTCGTAAGGCACCACACTCGCACTGCTAGCAAAACTCGATGAACGAACGGATGGCCAAGCTACATAGCAATCGGTAGTCTAGAACAAACGGTGGTACAGATACACGCATGATTGGGTGATAGAATGAAGGATCCCGACAGCGTCTTTGCTAAGTCTGTCCTGCGGATCTCTTGATTGCGTATTGACCATCAGCTCTATCTGCAAGTCCTTCGGTTCAGCATTGCCGTGAGGGGGAAAGTATCCTACAGCGCTCGTCAGAAATCATCGGAGAACTGCACAGAGTATCGTGCTCACGCGGGCTATTGTAGTACCACACCACGGTCCCTTGTACGAAGTGCTCCAGATTCTCATGATACGTTGCCAAGCGCGCATCGATCTCGGATCCGAAGGAGGGGAGCTTGCGCTTCAGGTCCGCGTAGTCCTGTACCCGTTCTGCAAGCATGCTTGTGAGGATGTCCACTGCAGTCTGTAGATCAACACCGCGTTCAGCCATGATGATGCATATCAGGTTCTGATAGTCTCCATCTGCTTGCTCTTTCTACAGAGCCTCGTAAGTACTTTACCCGTGTCCCTGAGTGCATGCTTACATTGAACGAGCACAGATCCTGTCGACGCGGTCAGTCGGACAGCCCATACGCGGTCAGAATTCCAAGCAAGAGCGGACGTACGTTGGGCCAGGTCATGGCGTCATTCGCCGCATCCGACATGCCCTTCACGACGGGGTCTTCGAATACATACGCCGGAATATCTAGGTCAAGAGAGTATTCCACCATCGCCTCAACCATGGCACCGCCGATTGTGGCTCGACGCATGAGGATGAATTCATCGACGGAGGGGAACAAACGGTCCTTCCTGTTGGCAGACTGTGTCACTTGAGAGCTACTCCAAGCCTCGAAGGCGCGACAGAATCTGGGCAATTTGTGTGAAATCCGGGTAAAAATGAATCATGGTGGCGGTGGCGTACCGTTCGTAAACACCTTGGCTCGACGTCGTCCGAATCTTGTATAAGATACTGGGCACAATTGAGCCTGCGGACTTCTCATAATCATGAACGGAGACGCCTCACTCGTACAGCATTGCAGCGTAAGGATATGTTGGACGCGGTTCGTGTTGGTCGCGAAGAACGCGCATGCTGATGTCGTGACCCGCCTGGACATCGCGAGGAGACTTCTGATATTCTCCTTCGTCAGACAAGTCATCTGTCTATGGATGCGTCAAGAGGCGAAATGATGAGATGTACCGAGCTTACCGAAAAAGCCCATAAAAAGAATTCTAAGCAAGTCTCGAGATGAGTGGCGTCGGCGTTGGGGAATGATAGAGCAGCGAAGAGGTCGAATTTCCCAACGCGCAAGAAATGATCGAGCTTCTTGCTATTGTAGACCCCAACTCTGTGAAAAAGACATGAGGTTCGCATACATGGGACAGGCGACACCACGTACTCATGGAACCATGTACGAGCAGCTCTCTCAGCGACATCACGGTGAGTACTGCATTTGAGAGCAAAGACAGGCGCGGTTATGGCTGATAGATCCTTGAGAAAAAAGCGACGAGGAAAGCTCAGTGGGGTCTGCTGAAACACCACCGATTCTGTCTGCTCTTGTCCAAGACTAGATAATAGCCAGTTCAGCATGTCGATAGTGGGCGGATTCCTGGGACGATGCTTCGGCTGCCTCCGAGCTTAAAAGACTATCCCGGATCTGAATCGATCATGGAACTGGCCCAGGATATGGTATCTTTGCTACGCAGATTCACAAGATGTCGGAGCCCCAAACACCATGACTGCTCGGTATCCAACATCCGAACAACCTCCAATGGATGAATCCGGTGAAACGTGACGATACAGTAATGCGAACGGCAAAAACAGAAGGGGAGGCTCGGCCGTGCTAGCGACACTACGCCCGTGGCTTGAGAACGCGCGCCCATAATACGTGCGAGAGTCGTGATCTGAGGGGCAAGAACCCAAATCTCAAGGGGTTTGGCACAGCACCATCGCTGTGTCGAAGTTTCCGGGTCTACCAGCGCAGTAGTGGATGTCGTGTCCAAGAAGATGTGCGCCCTGTTGCCGCGTGGGCGAGATCGGGCATTCTCGCGCCCACGCTGCAAATGTCATCAGCGGTCACGTTGATCGAGCTTGTCCGCGATTGCCATCATGGCCAGAATGCGCCTGGCAGCATTAGGGTGGGGTAAAGAGCCAGGGTTTGGGCGCCTGCTCGCGCTCTTGCAACAATTCCGAGCGTCAAATAGGCCGCCCATCGTATCATAAGGGTCCCTCGTTCTGATATCGCAGGCCGGTCATACCTCAGCTAGTACTCACACTCCCTTCTACTTCTTCGGTCCCATCGTGAACGATACACCGAGTCGTATTCTCCCCCAACATGATTCAGATCGACGTTTCTGAATTAGCCGGCATCGTTTGTGAGGGTATCCTCTTCGGTGCGTCTCGTCCTGTACTATCCCACCTCAATAGTGAATCTCAAGCAACACAGGCATCTTTCTGACGTTGATTTCCGCGGCTTTCTGGATTCTACTCGAGAAGAGGGGGCGAGGACAACGCAACTTGCCCTTCCTTGTGGCAGCTCTTGTGATGTTCGGACTGTCCTTTGCTCAAATCATCGTCGATACCGTCAACGTATTTCGCGCCTTCATTCCTTTGGATCGCGCTCAGCGCATACTCTTCCTCCTGAATGTCACCGAACCCATCTTTGCCGCGAAGCATGCCATATACTTTACCATGATGCTGGTCGGAGATGCCATCGTGGTCAGTACAGGTCGGGTACTACAGGCTGGGCTTTCACTCAGTATATTGCAGATCTTCCGCGCATACGTCGTATGGGACCGTAACTATTGGGTCATCATCGTCCCTGTGCTCTGCTGGATTGGCTCGGGTGGTCCGTATCCATGTTCAGATCCTCGAATTCAGGCATGAACTGAAATACCCAACAGTGTCCGCCTATCAGACTATATGGGCTGTCCGTCACATTGCCTCTGCATCCATCGAGGGTGAGACCAAGTGGGGTCTGGCTGTTTTTGCCTTGAGTCTCTCGGCCAATGGCATTGCTACAGGCGAGTACTCAAACACATAGATCAGGCATGTGTGCTTCATACTTACTACGCGCCAGGTCTCATCGCCTGGAGGATCTGGAAGCATGCTCGAACCATGAGCAAGACCGTCCTATCTTCCGGACCTCAGCTGGGACCCGTGGTCAGGATTGTGCTCGAGAGCGGGGCTGTCAATGCTGCCTACCTTCTTGCCTATCTGATTGTACTCCAGAGCGGCAGTCACGGGCTCGAAATCATGGCTAACATAGTAAGTTCAGTTTCACGCACGATGCTGTAGAGCCAAACTCACGAGAGCCCTCCATCTAGTCCACGCCGCTGATTGGCATCATATACTCGGTGGTCATCATCCGTGCCACACGCTCGTCCAGGCCGGCGAACACATACTCCACTCATTCCCAACCTTTGTCTTCGACGACTCCTTCAGGGGCCGTCTTTTCCGTCCAGCGTCAGTACATTGATTCGCAAGCGACCGAATTCGAACGCGGGTCAGACTTGGGTCATGTAGAGTTAGTACATAAGTCCCGCGGTGAGGATTATGGCAAAGTTATGCCTGTAGTGTAGATACGATATGTATCACTAGTCGGTCGATGTGCAGTAGTGTAATTTGACAACTTTGGTCATGAGTGCTATCGCCCTCAGACTTCGGTGCGAACGCTTTTTGTCAGGACATGCACTTGGGTCGGAATACTGAGCAAACATGCGCAGAGTCCATCACGCGTAACCGTGAGAAGTACGGTGGTCGCAGCGCCGGCAACGCCGCGTGTCGCCGCGTTCGCCAGCACCTTGAGCCCAACCTCTCATTACCCCGCCTGACCAACACCGTACACGGCTCGTAGTCACAGACTCGTCGCACGCTGGGCCTGGCATGTTGCCATCATGCTTCTGGATGGCCTCCGATCCATCTACATACAAACGGGTACAATCACATCTAACTGCGCTGGAAAAACAGACGACACCCTCTATCATACCTTCCATTGATCCATGGTCATCGCACTTCTCAGGAAGGACCGGAACGCGCCTGAAACACGCGCTCCGGCAGGACTTCAGGCCATCGCTGAAGCTCCGAGGCAAGCTGATGCTCGGTGCTAGATCGCGAGCGCTTACCACCCGAGAACTCATACACGTGAAGGCGTGATCCAAAGAAGACGATGGGAAGCCAAAGACGAGGAAGTCGACGCCTACTTCCCCTTAAGACGAGCTTCCACGTACAGAGCGCCCTACACGCTATCCATCTCTCTGCAGCCTCAGCGCTTTTGGTCTATCACTGAATTCTACAATGGGTGTTGTGTGGGACTTCATTGTGTCTATGATGCGGGAATCCTTCCCGCCGAAGCCGACTTGGACGGCGGAAGACATCCCTGACCTCACTGGCAAGGTCGTCATCATGACAGGTAAGTCGTGCACTTACCTTGAAAGCTTTGCTCACGCTGTTATAGGCGGTTCATCTGGTATTGGTTATGAGGCGTCAAAGGTGCGTGCGCCATACGCTGACGTGCAGCGTGACCGCTAAGCATTCAGTAGGTTCTGCTGTCAAAGGGAGCTACGGTTTACATTGTACGCTCTACATTGCCACGTGCTCCATCTACCCGTACAAAGTACACCGCAGGCATGCCGCAATCCTGATATCTCTACCCTCGACGAAGTCAAGGGAAAGCCAGGGGCGAAGTTCCTTCGTATCGACTTGGCGGACCTCGACTCGGTTCAAGCCGCAGCGCAGGAGTTCCTACGGTTTGTCTTAACCACAGCCTCCCTCGTATATGTGCGGCTAATTGTGATGCAGGTCTGAATCTCGCCTTGACGTTCTCTATTGCTCTGGGTGAGTACCCCACACGAGTTACCTCGGATTCGACTGAATACCTTCATCTCGGCAGAGGCGTTATGATACCACCTGTGGACCAACTCTCCGCGCAAGGTTACGACTTGCAATTTGCCGTCCACGTTCTCGGTAACGTGGTCTTGTTATCCGACGACTACGTTTGCTCACGTTGGTGCTAGGCCACCATTACCTGCTCAAGTTGCTCCTCCCCGTTCTTCAGCAGACGGCGAAGCTCGACACTGCTCAGAAGCCTCGCGTGATCGCTGTATCATCAGGGGCGCACCATCTCCACAAACTCGACTTCGACACTTTGAAGGACGGCCCAGCGCGTCGTAAGGTCAGCACCGAAGGCCTGTACGCGCAGAGCAAGTTCGGCACCGTCGTGTGGGCTAAGGAACTAGGGAGGAGGTATGGCGACGAGCTTGTGTCGCTCTCCCTAAACCCCGGAAATGTCGCCACGAACTTGCAAAGACGGGTGACCGGCTTCCAGAGGGCGATGATTGTGAGTAGGTTGCCACATGTTCCCAAGACCCATCTTGACGTGCCGATAGTCCTGGATGCTCCATCCCGTGGTGCCCAACGGGATAGTTACTCATCTGTACGCTGGTTTTGCGCAGGAAACTGCGGATTGCAACGGCAAGGTTCGTACTCTCATCTTCGGAAGAAGCTCTGTGCCTGAACGTTGAATAGTATCTGATACCTTGGGCCCGAGTGGGCAAACCTCGTGCAGATACGCAGGATCCTAAGGTTGGAGAGGCGCTTTGGGATTGGCTCGAAGCTCAGATCGCTGGACGTCAGTAGCCACGCATTCTGAGCACTTGTCCTCTTGAGACTACGTCGATCCTATACACTTGCTGCGACTGGAAGTAATAGTCTTTTGCGCGGCAAGGCGCATGAGAATGTGCGAAGTGTATCGCTTCCCCTGACAGCCGCAATCTGCGCATCAAGGGGAGTTACTGGCGCTCTTCAAACGGTTCGGGCTTGCTATCCAGACCGCGTGTACAAGTCAGTTCACACCGGGGGTCGTCCTCGTTCCCCGCATGCATCATGAGCTCCTGACCCAGGACCTAATGATCAAGCATTAGCACCGGAAAGCCTCATCTCATTGAGCGAGGCCTCCGATTATCAGTTTCTGTTGGTCAACGCTGCTGCATGGATGTAGCGATCCGAGATGATATAGAGAGCGAGTTCTACGATGGTTCGCAATGTATTCTGATGGCCGCCTTAAGCTAGTCTGCTACCAGTTTTGAGTGAGAAGATGAAGTTTAGCCGCGTATTGAACGCTATCAACAATTGTTCCAAGTCCGGTCAGGGCCTTCAAGCTGCGAGGTATTATGACCGAGAAGATCACTAGGCCAACAGCTGTTGTTGTCGGAATGCCATCCGGCTTCTTTCTTAGCCGTCTTTCTGCCTAGATCTCACATGCTGAAATCTTTCATTGTCGCGTAGTCGCCGCCAACAGCATTGCCTAGTCCGAGTATGACGATGCGAAGAAGACCCGCGCAGGTTGTGATCCTGATAGCCTGTTTATCGTCGTTCGCACAGACGGTCTATTTGCATGCGCGCACAGCAGTGTATCAAACTTTCACTGGCAACGATGGCCTACCTATCATCTATTCCGTCTCGCACTCACGGCACGCCGGAAGGTATACGATGCCAAATACAGTGAACATCGCGGTTTCAGCGGTGTCGGCGCCCCCACAGCTAACAATCTTGCATTGTCCACTCGAGATGTTCATCAGCACTGCTCGTGATACGTGTGCCGACGTTCATACCTCTGATCGTGCTCAGTATGCTCAGGGATCCGTTTTACGACCCCTTGAGCACAAGGTGATGCCAGTTGGCACGATCGATTCATAAGTATGGCACGGCTGCGTGAATGCAGCCATCCCGGAGCTCTACTTGTGGACCGACTGTCTCCACGACATCCGACATCATGCGGTCGTTACCCAACATGCTGACCTTGGCGTCTTTGGCGTCCTTGTTGCCCTCGTATGCTGTGGCCACCGTACACTATGCCATCGAGGATCTTAGCAGCTCAACATGGGACTACATCGTCATCGGTGGCGGGACTGCAGGCTCCGTCGTGGCCAGTCGGCTGTCTGAGAACTCGGGCGCATCAGTCCT